CTAAGTCTCTTTGTAAGTCTCTTAAGTACTTGCTTTATGAATCTGGGTGCTCCTCTATTGGGTGCATATATATTTAGGATATTAGCTCTTCCCGATGAATTGATCCCTTTACCATTATGTAATGGCCTTCTTTGTCTCTTTTGATCTTTGATGGTTTAAAGTCTGTTTTATCAGAGACTAGGATTGCAACCCCTGATTTTTTTTGTTTTCCATTTGCTTGGTAGATCTTCCTCCATCCCTTTATTTTTGCCTATGTGTGTCTCTGCATGTGAGATGGGTCTCCTGAATACAGCAAAGTGATGGGTCTTGACTCTTTATCCAGTTTGCCAGTCTGTGTCTTTTAATTGGACCATTTAGTCCATTTACTTCTAAGGTTAATATTGTTATGTGTGAACTTGATCCTGTCATTATGATATTAACTGGTTATTTTGCTCGCTAGTTGATGCAGTTTCTTCGTAGCATCGATGGACTTTACATTTTGACATGTTTTTGCAATGGCTGGTACCTGTTGTTCCTTTCCATGTTTAGTGCTTCCTTCAGGATCTCTTGTAGGGCAGGCCTGGTGGTGACAAAATCTCTAAGCATTTGCTTGTCTGTAAAGGATTTTATTTCTCCTTCACTTATGAAACTTAGTTTGGCTGGATATGAAATTCTGGGTTGAAAATTCTTTTCTTGAAGAATGTTGAATATTGGCCCCCACACTCTTCTGGCTTGGAGAGTTTCTGCCAAGAGATCTGCTGTTAGTCTGACGGGCTTCCCTTTGTGTATAGCCCAACCTTTCTCTCTGGCTGCCCTTAATATCTTTTCCTTCATTTCAACTTTGGTGAATCTGACAATTATGTGTCTTGGAGTTGCTCTTCTCGAGGAGTATCTTTATGGCATTCTCTGTATTTCCTGAATTTGGATGTTGGCCTGCCTTACTAGTTTGGGGAAGTTCTCCTGGATGATATCCTGCAGAGTGTTTTCCAACTTGGTTCCGTTTTCGCCATCACTTTCAGGCACACCAATCAGACGTAGATTTGGTCTTTTCACATAATCCCATACTTCTTGGAGGCTTTGTTCATTTCTTTTTACTGTTTCTTTCTCCACACTTCTCTTCTTGCTTCATTTCATTCATTTGATCTTCAATCACTGATACTCTTTCTTCCAGTTGATCGAATCAGTTACTGAAGCTTGTACATTTGTCACATAGTTCTCGTGTTATGGTTTTCATCTCTATTATTCTTTTAAGGTCTTCTCTGCATTGATTATTCTAGATATCCATTCATCCATTCTTTTTTCAAGGTTTTTAGTTTCTTTGCGCTGGTTACGTAGTTCCTCCTTTAGCTCTGAGAAGTTTGATTGACTGAAGCCTTCTTCTCTCAACTCGTCAAAGTCATTCTCCATCCAGCTTTGTTCCGTTGCTGGTGATGAGCTGCGTTCCTTTGGAGGGGGACACGTGCTCTGAATTTTTGAATTTCCAGCTCTTCTGCACTGCTTTTTCCCCATCTTTGTGGTTTTATCTGCCTTTGGTCTTTGATGATGGTGATGTACAGATGGGTTTTTGGTGTGGGTTTCCTTTCTGTTTGTTAGTTTTCCTTCTAACAGTCAGGACCCTCAGCTGTAGGTCTGTTGGAGTTTGCTTGAAGTCCACTCCAGACCCTGTTTTCCAGGGTATCATCTGCAGAGGCTGCAGAAGACAGAATATTGCTGCACAGCGAGTGTTGCTGTCTGATTCTTGTTCTGGAAGCTTCGTCTCAGGGGTATACCACGCCGTGTGATGTGTGAGGTGTCGGTGTGCACCTAGTGGGGGACGTCTCCCAGTTAGGCTACTCAGGAGTCAGGGACCCACTTGAGCAGGCAGTCTGTGCATTCTCAGATCTCAACCTCCGTGCTGGGAGATCCACTGCTCTCTTCAAAGCTATCAGACAGGGGCATTTACCTCTGCTGAGGTTTCTGCTGCTTTTTGTTTAGCTATGCTCTGTCCCCAGAGGAGGAGTCTACAGAGGCAGGCCAGCCTCTTTGAGCTGCGGTGGGCTCCACCCAATTCGAGCTTCCTGGTGGCTTTGTTTACCTACTTAAGCCTCAGCAATGGCGGGCACCCCTCCCCCAGCCTCACTGCCACCTTACAGTTAAATCTCAGACTGCTGTGCTAGCAATGAGGGAGGCTCCGTGGGCATGGGACCCTCCGGGCCAGGTGTGGGATATAATCTCTTGGTGTGCCGTTTGCTAAGACCCTTGGTAAAGCATAGTATTAGGGTGTGAGTTACCCGATTTTCCAGGTGTTGTGTGTCTCAGTTTCCCTTGGCTAGGAAAAGGGATTCCCTTCCACTTTGTGCTTCCCAGGTGAGGCGATGCCTCACCCTGCTTCAGCTCTCACTGCTTGGGCTGCACCAGCTGACCAGCACCGAATGTCCGGCACTCCCCAGTGAGATGAACCCAGTACCTCAGTTGAAAATGCAGAAATCACCCGTCTTCTGTGTCACTCACGCTGGGAGCTGGAGGCTGGAGCTGTTCCTATTCGGCCATCTTGGGTGCGCCCCCCCAACTGTGTTTTTTAAATTAATGAATTGAGATGGGGAAGAGTTGGAATTTTACAAAATTGTTTTTTTATTCGTTATCAGTAGAATTATTAAAAAACATTGGCTTTTTATATATTTTTTTAACTTCTGGTACTGTGTTACATATCAAGGAAGTAAAGAAAAATGAAAATAAAAAATGGACCTCAAAATAGTCTGTGATTACACCAGTGTTTGAGAAGGCTAATTTAGTAACTCGTGGTCTGCTACAAGGAGATGATGACAGCAGTTTAAGTGAAATAGATGAGGATGAAATAAGTTAAAATGTATAAGTTCTTTATTTCTCTGAGAAGGAACATTCGCAGTCATTATTTTTCCTGGAAATAGAATAGTGTAGTCTGCCAAAGCTAGAGAATACTCAACTATATCAATGTTGAAAGACCGATTATGATGAGGGCTGGTGACTTTGACAAGGAGCAGTTTGAATAAATAATTGCCATGGAACCCTGACTGTAGTGGATAAGCATAGACACCCTTTGAGGGAACCATTATTGGGAAAGGCAATAGAGAAATGAGTGATAACTGAAGAAGAATGTGGGATTCAAGGGAATTTTCTTTCTTTTTTATTTTAAAATAGAAGCTTTTGGAGTGTATTTGTATGCTGCTGGGAACGATATGGACAAGAAGAACATGTTTATGAGATTTAATTTTGTTTGTATGTCTAAGTGTTTGAAAACTTGATTCATTATCTTTTATAGATTTTTAGCAAACTAATTGTCCTTAGAGTATTTATTCATGTAGAGTTTTATGGTAAGAGTTTGTTCCTTCACCATTGGTTCAGAAATGTAAATATTAGTGTAACTGAACATATAAATGGTGACTGAAAATTTAAACTATCATATGCAGATTATTTTAAATTGTGAGGTAATAAACATGCAAACACTTAGGCCATACTGAATAGAATTTAAACATCCCTTGATGAATAGGTATGATCTGCTAAGGTACTCTAAAATGTCAGGTGTATCAACTTTATAGTTGTTTAGATTCTGAGGAGAAGGGGAAGATTTTGTTCAAGTACTTTAGAAAAGCTTGCTGTTGACAATCTATCACAGATTATTACTTCTGGATTATAAAGTGATTTTTTTTTTTTTTTTGGTGACAGAGTCTTGCTCTGTCACCTAGGCTAGAGTGCAGTGGTGCGATCTCGGCTCACTGCAACCTCTGCCTTCCAGGTTCAAGCAATTCTCCTGCCTCAGTCTCCTGAGTAGCTAGGATTGCAGATGCCTGCCACCACGCCTGGCTAATTTTTGTATTTTTAGTAGAGACGAGGTTTCACCATCTTGGCCAGGCTGATCTTGAACTCGTGACCTCATGATCCACCCGCCTCAGCCTCCCAAAGTGCTGGGATTACAGGCGTGAGCCATTGTGCCTGGCCTATAAGGTTTTTTAAAAAAATATTTAATCAAGTTGACCCACAATGGATTATAAAGTTCTAAAGTATCAAAACCATGTTCCCCTGGACCAACATTGCCATCAGCATGTATTGTGTGCTCAATGAGTATTTATTTGTTGAATGGATGAATGAATGGGTGAATACATGAATGAACACCTGTTGTTGGATTTCATTAAAAATACTTTTTAGTTTTTTGAAAGTAGGTTTCTGAACTTGCCTCTGTATGAAGTTGTTTTATTAGAAAAAAATTGCAAGATTCTGAAATTATTATTTATAGTTGTAGTCAGAAATGGAATGACAATGTGGTTTCATCTGCTATCGTCTCTCTTTAAAACACTTGAAAATAAATATTACCTTCACAGCATATCATGAAACACATGTTTTTGGGGCAGAATTGTTGGGTTTGAGTGCTGCGTCTGCTACTGGCCAGCTGTATGGGCTGAGGAAAGTCACATGGCCCTTCTGTGCCTATTTTCTTTCTTTATAAAATACTTAATGTGTTACTGACCTCACAGAATTGTTATGAGGATTATATGAGTTTGACACATGGACAGTACTCAGAATGATGCATAGTACCTGCATAGTAAGTCAAGAAAAAGCTAACTAATATCATCATTAAAAAGGGGTTTCCCTTATATAAGAATGTGAGTAATATTTTCCAAATAGGTTTTAGTGCCCATAAAAGCTTGTTTTTATTGAAAAGGACAACAATGAGAAGACCCTAGTATATTTATTTTTATCACATAATGCAGGTAACACCTTTTTTTCTTTTGGTTTTACTATCAGAAATCTTGACCTAAATTTAATTCTTTGTAATGATATTATTAGTAGTAAATTTCTTTATCCCTTAATGTTACTGTTTCTGTTTATAGTTTAATGTCTGTTGTAGAAGATTGCTGTATTTTACATTACCTGTAAAAAAATTTACCTGTACACTTGATGAATAGAAGTAATACAAATGCAGATATTTTATATGATAAAACAATAGTATTATTCTTTGTATTTTACATCTTTGCTATTTTTCTAAAAGGAATTTTTTCTTTTTCCAGGCCTGCAGATAAAACATCTAATGAAAAGAACAAGGTATTGTAAAAAAGTAAATGATCTAAAATATTATGTTGAAAAAAAACACATTCTAAAAGGTAAAATAAAAAAGGATGTTTTGTTCTAAAGCTGTTTGCTTAGAAAAAGTGATTAAGAAACAGTAGCTGTTGATAACAGTACCTTTTAAGAGCAATCTGTTGCTTTAAAGAAGTGCCTGTGTTTTTGCTCATTAAAAAAAAATGGAGAAATACCACTTCTGTACATTTAGCATACGCTATAAATCTTTTGAGGACATTTTGAAACAGTGTTATTTATCTTATAGGTCAAAAACCAAGTACATCCTGAGGCTGACTTTGCTGACTCAGTGGGGCCATCTGAAACGACCTCAGAGGATTGTGAGTTATCTCACTCTACTTATGAGAATTTTTTGTTGCTGATTGAACAACTTGGAATGGAGTGTAAAGGTAGGACCATTGCATAAATGCAAAGCCTTTTGATGTATCCTGCAGTAATGTGTGTATACATTGCTGAGAACTGATGTGTGATAGTGAAGCTCATCTCAGAAATATGCTCAGTGTTAAAATAGAAAGAGAACTAACTTATACTCTACACCAAAGAGCTATGTTAACTCCACTGTACTTTTCTCATTGTCAGTGGCACTCCCAGTCTTTTTATTGACTCTGTTTCTCTCCTATTCCTTCCCCCAATGTCAGGTTACCATTTTTTCTCCACCTGGAATGCTGTGGAAATCTTAGGAATCTTAGAACTGTTTTCTCGAATAGCTCACCTCTAAAACCGTGGTCTACTCTGCATTCATAATGATATATTTTTAAGACTTCGGATCTGATCATGTTACTCCTTTGCTTATAACTCAGCTACTACTTCTCATTGCTATAAGGTTAGAGATCTGAATCCTTTAGCTTTATCCTGCATCATTTTTACCCTTCTCTGTCTCTGTGTCCCACCTAGTGTCTTAGATGTTTGTTCCAGCAGTTGATAGCTTCAGTGAGGTATAACTGATATATGGTAGACTGCATGTATGTAAAATACACAATTGTATGCACATGTGAAACCATCACCATAATCAAGAGAGTTAACATGTTCATCATCCATAAAAAGTCTCTTCCTGTCCCTTTGTATTTCTTTGTTAAGAAACTGCTAAATTGTTTTCCAAAGTATTTGTATTGATTTTCCATTCCAACCAGCAGTATATGACATTTCCTATTGTTCTGTATCATCACAAGCTGTTATTATTGCTGTTTTTTTAATTTTGAAATTTTAGCCATTCTGATGGGTATGTATTATGCATATTATTATGGTTTTAATATGCATTACTCTAAAGACTAATAATGTTGAGCATCCTGTATGTGCTTATTTACCACCTGTGTAACTTCTTTGGTGAACTGTCTTTTCCAATCTGGGTAGCTTATGAACTTTTAAAATTGAGATTCGATTCAATCAGCTTTTTTACATACACCAAAGGTAGTCAAACCTTTTCATTTTCAAACTGTTATCTTACTAAACATAGTAAATATTTTAAACTTGTGACAAAATGGTCTCTGTCACAGCCAATCAACTCTGCTATTGTAGTATGAGACCAGCCATAGACAGTACGTATGTTAAAAAAACACAGCTGCATTCCAATAAAACTTTATTTGCAAAAATAACAAGCTGCCCCACAGGTTGGATTTTACCCATCCCTATTATGTGATCATGATTGTGAATAAAGACGTTTTACTTCTTCCTTTCAACTCAGGTAGCTTTCCTTTTCTTTTCTTTCCTAACTGCACTGGCTTCAGTACAATGCTGACTAACATAGTGAAAGGAGACATTCCTGTATCGTTCCTGATCTTACAGGGAAAGTATTCAGTTTTTCATCATGACACATGTTAGTTGTAGGTTTATCAGAGATGCCCTTTATCATGCTGATGACGTTCCCTTGTATTCTTTGGTTACTGAGATGAGTTTTTATTTTTAAATCAGGAATGAATGTTGTGTTTTATCAAATGCCTCTATCTACTGAGATGATCATATGGTTCTTCTCTTTTAGTTTTTTAATGTGGTGAATAACTGATGTTTTAATGTCAAACCAACCCTGTATTTGGGGATAAACCCCACTTGTTTATGATGTATTATCCTTCTAATATATCATTGGATTGGATTTGCCAAGATTTTATTTAGAAAGTTTTAAAACGCTATTTTTTTTTTTTTTTTTTTTGACACAGGGTCTCGCTCTGTCACCCAAGCTGGAGTGCAGTGGCCAGATCTCAGCTTACTGCAAGCTCCGCCTCCCGGGTTTACGCCATTCTCCTGCCTCAGCCTCCTGAGTAGCTGGGACTACAGGCGCCCGCCACCTCGCCCAGCTAGTTTTTTGTATTTTTTTAGTAGAGACGGGATTTCACCGTGTTAGCCAGGATGGTCTAGATCTCCTGACCTCGTGATCCACCCATCTCAGCCTCCCAAAGTGCTGGGATTACAGGCTTAAGCCACCGCGCCCGGCCAAGGCTATTTTTTAGACTAGTTTTAGCTTCACAGCAAAACTGAAAGTAAGGCACAGAGATTATCCCTGTACTCCCTGCCCCTACACGTGCACAGCCTCCACAATTATCAATATCCTCACCAGAGTGGTACACTTGATCTCATTGATGATCCTGAATTGATAATCACAATCACCCAAAGTCCATAGTTGATATTAGGGTTCAGTTTCAGTGTCTTACATTCTGTGAATTTGGACAAAGGTATGAGGACATGTATTTATCACTGTAGTATTATCCAAAGTAGTTTCAGAGCTTTAAAACTCCTTTGTGCTTCATCTGTTCATCTTCTCCCGCCTTCCCTCCCCAGCTCCTGGCAACCACTGACTTTTTTTATGGTATCTATAGTTTTGCCTTTTCCAAAATGTCATATAATTGGTATCAGACAGCGTATAGCCTTTAGACTGGCATCTTTCACTTGGTAATATGGCTTTGTGGTTCCTTCATGTCTTCTCATGGCATGACAGCTCATTATCGCATGGCTGTACCAGAGGTTGTTCGCTTACCTAAAGGAGGATATCTTGGTTTCTTGAGAAATTGGTTAAATTTTTACATCTATGTTCATGAAGGAGTTTTCTGTTTTTGTAATATCATTGTCAGATTCTGGTTCAGGGTAATGCTAGAGTGATAGAATGAGTTGTATTTCTCCTCTGTTTTTTTTGAGGGTGGGGGAAAGGTCATGTAAAGTTGTTATATTACTTCTTAAATATTTGGTAGAATTCACCAGCATAGCTATCTGGGCTTCGAGTTTTCTTTCTAGGAAGGCGTTCCTTATGCTCTATTTTCTTTTATAGTTATAAGACAGTTCAGGTTATTCCTTCTGGATTGAACCTTGGTAATTTTTGTTTTTCAAGGAAAGTGTCCATTTTATCAAAGTTGTCATGTTTAGTCACATAATGCTCACCTTATTATATTGCTGTTCTTTTAGTATCTGTAGAATCTATAAAAATGTCATATTACTATGTTTCTGAAATTGTAATTTGCATCTTCTTTTTTGTGATCAACCTGAATAGAGTTTTATCACTTTTATTGACCTCATCAAAGTGTGTGGTTTTACTGATTTTTTCCTATTGTTTTTCTGTTTTATTGGTTTCATCTTTGATGTTGTGGTCTGTTTGGCCTGCTATAACAAAATACTATAGACTGGGTAACTTATAAACAACAGAAATAGATTTTTCACAAAAGTCCAAGATCTAGGTGCTGGCAGATTTGGTGTCTGGTGAGGGACCAATTCCTGGTTCATAGATCCCTGTCCTCACATGGCAGAATAAGTGAGTGAGCCCTCTGGAGTCTATTGCATAAGGGCACTAATCCCATTCGTGAAGGCTTGGCTCCCATGAGCTAATTACCTCCACGAAGCCCCACCTTCTGATAATATCACCTCTGTGATTAAGTTTCAGCATACGAGTTCTGGGAGGATGCAAATGTCAGACCATAGCAGACGTTTATTATATCATTTCCTCTGCTTGCTTTGGGTTTAATTTCTTCTTCTTCTTCTTTTTTAGTTTCTTCTCTTTTTTTAGTTTCTTAAGGAAGTCAAGACCATTGACTTGAGAGTCTTCTAATATAGATGTTTAGTGCTAAAAAATTTTAAGTACTGTTAACTGTGTACCACAAATCCTGATATGTAGTATTTTCATTTTCATTCAGTTCAAAATACTCTCTAATTTCTCTTTGCATCATGTCTTTGACCTAGGGTTATTTAGATGTGTGTTACTTTGTTTTAAAATATTTGAATATTTTGATGAGATATTTTGTTACTGATTTCTGATTTGATTGCCTTGTGGTCAGGGAACATACTTTGTATAACTTAAATCCTTCTGACTTAATTCTTTTATTAAGATTGATTGCAGAACCTAGAATGTGGTCTGTTTTGGTAAGTGCTCCCTGGGTACTTGAGAAGCATGGTGTTGTTCCAGTCTACTCCATTCTTGCTGATTTGCTGCTCCCTAGTTTTATCACTTATTGAGTAAGTGATACTCAAATCTCAGACTGTACGTGTGAATTTGTCTATTTCTTCTATCGATCTTTACCTCGTATACTTTGAAGCTGTTATTAGGTGCACAAACATTTAAGATTATATGTTCTTGATTACCTGAACTTTTTTAAGTCATTAGGAAATGAGTGTTTATAGCTGGTTTTTGTTTTTTTTCTGTGAAATCTACTTTGGCATAAACGTAGCCATTTCTTCTCAGGCTTCTTTTGTCAACTCTTAGCCTAATATATCTTTTTCCATCCTTTTGAACAATTTGTGTTTTACATTTAAAGTACTTTTTTTATAGGAAGCATGAAGTAGCTTCTTGCATTTTTATCCAGCCTTACAATCTGCATTTTAATTGAGATTTTTAGGCCAGTTTCATGTATAATGTGCTTATTGATACAGTTAGGTTTGTCTGTCATCATGCTGTTTGATTTCCATTGGTCCCCGCAGTTCTTTGTTCTCTTTTCTTCTTTTTCTGCCTTCTTCTCAATTAGTCCAGTAATTTTTGTGATTTATTTTTATCTTCCTTTTATGGCTTATTAGCAATAACTATTTTTTTCTATCTTAGTGGTTGCACTACAATGTATAGTATATGATTTTAAGTTATCACTGTCCATCTTCAAAAGTATTATGGCATATCATATATGGCATAAGAAAATTATGAATGAAAACCCAAACGTCTGTTCTCACTTGTAAGTGGGAACTATGCTGTGAGGATGCAGGGGCATAAGAATAATACAATGGAGGTTGGGAACTTGGGGGGAAAAGTGGGGGGAGGAGGTGAAGGATAAAAGACTATGGATTAGAAACAGTGTATGCTGCTTGGGTGGTGGGTGCACCAAAATCTCAGAAACCACCACTAAAGAACTTATTCATGTAACCAAGGACCACCTGTTACCCAAAAACCTATTGAAATTTTAGAAAAAAGAAAATTAGAATGGTATACTTTCATTTCCTCTCTCCCAGCCAGATACTTCTGGATTTGTAGGATTATAGTTTTCTTTACATTTAGAAAGTTTTGACCATTCTTTTTTTTATCTTTCTGTCTCTCTTTTTCCCTCTTTGGGGACTTATTCCTGCTTGAAGTTTTCTTATAGTTCACTGATGTCTCAAATTTATGAATCTTCTGTTTGGTGATGTCTAATCTGTGTTCACTTCCATCCATTGTAGCTTTCATTCTTGACATTGTAATTTGAATCTCTGCAAGTGTAGTTTGCTTAAAAAAATCTTCCATGCCTCTGCCTATCTGCTTGAGCTTAATTTTAATATATAGTTGAGTTCCATATGAATAACTCGATCTTTCTGATCTTGCTTTTATGATTTGGTTGAATTTTCTGCTCCTGAGGCAAGATCTTTGTGATGACTATTCATTGCCATACGAAGTCTGAGTTTTCCCAGCATCACTCACGGGAATGGACACTCTTTTTGGCACATTGTGAGCACCAGACATGTTTCTTTCCAGTGTTTTTTAGATGTTTTTCCCCTTTGGTCTGGGGCGGTTTTCTGAAACACATGTGCTGTTTGTTACTCTGCTAGATGCCCAGGAGGTATTTTTGTAGATCTTCAGTGTTCTTTCCCTGTACTCTGCCTCCTTTCCGGTGTTCTGTTTTGTGATCTCTGCCTGCCTTGGCTTTACCAGACTCTCAGCTTCATCATCTCATCTCAGGGAATCTGGTGGACTCTATGTCAGTTTTTTCTCTCTGTGCAGTAGCCTGGAAACTCTGTGAAGGCAGGGAGCTGGAGTGTTGGTATGAATTTCATTTGTTTTCTGTCTTACGGGGATCATTGTCTTCATTACCTGAAGTTCACTGCCTGGTAAATGATTGTAGAATGTATTTTGCCTGTTTTCTTTTTGGTTGTCTCAGGCAAGAAGGTAAATCAGTACTTGCTGTCCATCGTGGCCAGAAGCAGATTGCAGCAGAGCTTCAGCACCTGCTGTCCACTGGCTAGAATACTTCTCTACCCCTTTGCTTAACTGCTTCCTTCTCACCCTTCATTTCCGCAGGGAAATCTTCCCTGGGCCCACTATAGATCAAATTCCCCTATGTGATCATAGAACTCTGTTTTCTTACACCATCTGTCTGAGTTTATAATTGTCACTTTTGTTGTCTTTGTTCCTCACTACACTTAAGGCTAAATGAGAGTAAAGGTCTTGTCTGTTTTATCTGCAGAGCTTAGTAGAATGCCACACTGTAGACACTCAGTGCATATTTGTTCAATATATGAAGGAGACAATGTTAAAATGCACAGTCCTTTATCCCTAAAAAGTACTCATATATTTTATTTCCACCTTGTTTTCTCCCTGACACAGATTCTGTTAGCCTATCAAGAATCCAAGACACATTTTGTTTCTATGAACACTTACTGAAACTTAAGAATAATGACTATGAACAACTTACAGTAAAAATTAAACAAACAGAAAATATGGTCAGTGTACTACAAAAGGAGCTATCTGAAACAAAAAAGACAGAATTACAGTTAGAGCTTCAAAAAATTGAATTGGAGAAACAGCTGTACAGTTTGAGGTATGATATTCTAGTTCTAAAGAAACATTTATACTAAAGATAATGTATCAGAATTTTTGTAATTGCTGACTTACCACCTGGGATTAATGGGGGAGAAACCTCGGTTTTGTGGAATATGAAATTCTTGGAAATAATAAAACAAATGGTTAACTGTGAACTCTTCTAATAAATAAATGCATATTCTTTGCAGTCTTAATAGCCATATAGAAGTCCACCATATGAAATCTTGTTATTCATTTAACAAATTGTAATTTGGGTTTTAAAATTACCTTGTATCTATAATTAATGATATAAGGAACATCTTTTATCATTATTATTATTTGTGGACACAGGGTCTCACTCTGTGCCTGGGGCTGGAGTTCACTGGTGTGACCATACCTCCCTGCAGCCTTGAACTCCATCCTCTGCCTCAGCGTCCTAAGTAGCTGGGACTCCAGGTGCACATTCCCATGCTTGGCTAACTTTTTAAGTGTTTTGTAGAGACAGGGTCTCACTATGTTGCTCAGGATGATCTCCAACTCCCGACCTCAAGCATTCCTTCTGCCTTGGCCTCCCAAATCATTAGTATTAAAGGAGTGAGCCATCATGCCCAGCCCAGAATATATATAGCATATACATACCACATATTATTTATTCCATTCGTCAGTTGATGGAACACTTCCATATCTTTGCAATTGTGAAATGTGCTGCAATCGACATACATTTGCAGGTGTCTTTTTGATATAATGATTTCTTTTCCTTTGGGTAGATACCCAGTAGAGGATTGTTGGATTGAATGGTAGCTCTATTTTAGTTCTTTGAGAAACCTCTCTACTGTTTTTCATAGAGGTTGTACTAATTTACATCCCTACCAGCAGTGTATAAGCATTCCCTTTTCACCACATCTGCACCAACATCTATTGTTTTTTGACTTTTTAATAATGAGCATTCTGGAGTAAGGTTATAGCTCCTTGTTGTTTTAGTTTGCATTTCCCAGAATATTAGTGATGTTGAGCATTTTAAAATATGTTTGTTGGCCATTTGTGCATCTTCTTTTGAGAAATATCTGTCCATGTCATTTGTGCACTTTTTGATGGGATTATTTTCATTTTTCTTGTTGATTTGTTGTCCTTTGTCAGATGCATAGTTTGCAAATATTTTCTCTTATTTTGTGCATTGTCTGTTTACTCTGATTATTTCTTTTGCTGTGCAGAAGACTTTTCCTTTCTTTTCTTTTCTTTTTTGAGACAGTTTCACTCTTGTTGCCCACGCTGGAGTGCAATGGCATGATCTCAGCTCACCATAACCTCTGCCTCCTGGGTTAAAGTGATCATCCTGCCTCAGCCTCCCAAGTAGCTGGGATTAAAGGCTCGTGCCGCCACGCCGGCTAGTTTTGTATTTTTAGTAGAGACAAGGTTTCTCCATGTTGGTCAGGCTGGTCTCGAACTCCCGACCTCAGGTGATTCGCCCACCTCAGCCTCCCAAAGTGCTGAGATTATAGGTCTGAGCCACCATGCTAGGCCAGCCCTTTCATTTAATTAGGTCCCATTTATTTATTTTTGTTTTTGTTGCATTTAGTTCTGGGGTCTTCATCATAAATTCTTTGCCTAGGCCAGTGCCCAAAAGAGTTTTTTCCTAGGCTTTCTTTCAGATTTTTTTGTAGTTTCAGGTTATAGATTTAAGTTTTTAATCCATCTCTTTTTTAATTAAAAAAATAATTTTGGGGGCCGGGCTTGGTGGCTCACATCTGTAATCCCAGTAGTTTGGGAGGCCGAGGTGGGCAGATCACGAGGTCAGGAGTTCGAGACCAGCCTGACCAACATGATGAAACCCCGTCTCTACTAAAATAACCAACATTAGCTGGGTGTGGTGGCGCATGTCTGTATTCCCATCTACTCGGGAGGCTGAGGCAAGAGTATCGCTTGAACTCGGGAGGCGGAAGTTGCAGTGAGCCGAGATCATGTCACTGTACTCCAGCCTGGGCAAAAGAATGAGACTCTGTCTCAAAGAAAAGAAAAAAAAAAAAAAAAAATATATATATATATATATATATATAAATATATAATATGTTATATATATATTATATGTGTGTATATATATATTTTTGGTGGAGATAAGGTCCCACTATGTTGCCCAGGCTGGTCTCAAACTCCTGGGATTAAGCCCTTCTCCTGCCTTGGCCTCCCAAAGCACCAGGATTACAGATGTGAGCCACCATGTTAGGCTTAATCCATCTTGAGTTAATTTTTATATATGGTTAGAGATAGGGATCCAGTTTCGTTTTTCTACATGTGGCTATTCAATTTTCCCAACACCATTTATTGAATAGGGTGTTCTTTGCCCAGTTTATGTCTTTGTACACTTTGTGAAAGGTCAGTTGGTTATACATACTTGGCTTTATTTCTAGGTTCACTACTCCGTTCCATTGGTCTATGTATGTACTTTTATACAAGTACCATGCTCTTTTGGTTACTTTAGCCTTGTATGGTTTGAAATCTGGTAATGTGATGCCTCTGGCTTCGTTTTTTTACTTGGGATTGCTTTGGCTATTCAGGCTCTTTTTTGATTCCCTGTGAGTTTTAGGAGTATTTTCTCTAATTCTGTGAAGAGTGACAGTGGTACGTCGATAGGAATTGCATCAAATCTGTAGATTGCTTTGGTTAATATGGTCATTTTCACTGTATTGATTCTTCTAATCTATGAACATAGGGCATATTTCCATTTGTTTGTGTCATCTATTATTTCCTTCAGCAGTGCTTTCTAGTTCTTGTAGAGATCTTTCACCTCCTTGGTTAAGTATATTCCTAGATTTTTTTTGTTGTTGCAGCTATTGTAAAAGGGATTAGGTTCTTGATTTGATTCTCACCTTGGTCATTCTTGATGTTTACTAGTGCTACTGATTTGTGTACATTGATTTTGTAACCTGAGACTTTTACCGATTTTATTGATCAAATCTAGGAGTCTTTAGGGTTTTCTAAGCTAAAAGATTATGTCATAGGCAAACAGAGATAGTTTGACTTTCTCTTTTCCAATTTGGATGCCCTGTCTTTCTTTCTCTTATCTGATTGCTCTGGCTAGGACTTCCCAGTTTTATTCTTTTTTTTTTTTTTTTTTTTTTTTGAGACGGAGTCTCGCTCTGTCGCCCAGGCTGGAGTGCAGTGGCCGGATCTCAGCTCACTGCAAGCTCCGCCCCCCAGGTTCACGCCATTCTCCTGCCTCAGCCTCCCGAGTAGCTGGGACTATAGGCGCCCGCCACCTCGCCCGGCTAGTTTTTTGTATTTTTTAGTAGAGACGGGGTTTCACCGTGTTAGCCAGGATGGTCTCGATCTCCTGACCTCGTGATCCGCCCGTCTCGGCCTCCCAAAGTGCTGGGATTACAGGCGTGAGCCACCGCGCCCGGCCTTCCCAGTTTTATTCTAAACATGCATGAAATAAGAAGTAAAATGGAAAGTAATTGATGATTAGTTTATTCCATATCTCTCATATGCAGAAAAAATTAATTCCAAATTCAATGCTGAAAGACACATTATCCTTTACTTTTATATTAGATATTAGATCCTGTCTTGTTCCAAAAAGAGATTTTAAAATTGCTTATAAAATACATAAGAATCAAGAAGATAAGTTGAAAGTGTTACCAAAAAGAGAAACATAAAAAGGATGGGGGTAACAGTTACTAGACAGCTTAGCCTAGTCTTGGATTACAGTAATCTGCAGATACATGTTGTGTGAATGACATCTGAAGGTGTTATCTTACACTGTAAATGATTTTTATGGCTACACATACAATATTTCATAAAGACGAAAATGCATTTCTAGTGAATTTCTAAACTTGTTTGTAAACAGTAACTTCTTTTAAATTAGCTAACTCTAAATGATCTGTTCTAATTAACTAATTTTCAACTTGCATAACGTGAAAAAGAAGTAATTTTCTTCAACTTGTTACTTTACTGAAACATTTCAAATATGCTTTTCGGTAATACTTACCAGGGTTACTAGTAACCGAAACTTACCAGGTAATGGACTGTTTCTTTCCTCACTACCTTTTAAATATATATGTCCCTTGAAAGAGACTGAAGTGAGAAATTAAAAGCATGAGAACTAGAAAGGAAAGAAGAGCATAGGGGTTTCTATGAGGATAATAAACCCACATGAGAAGAGCCAGATAACGAAATCAACTTTTTTATTTTCTAACAAAACACATTTTAATGTAATCCATATTTAACTGCAGACTTGCCTTAAAACAAGAAAAAGAGGAGAAAGGAAATGCTGTCATGTTATATAATAAATATAGTGAACGGTTAAGACTAAAAGAAGAGGAATGTGGGAAAGAGGTTGAAATGAAGCAACGACTTAAATGGACACTGAGAAGACTCGTTAAGGAGTTGAAGACAGTAAGAAACAACTTGGATCTGGTAGATTAATCTTTGGTGAAAACTTCGTATTTCTAACTTTATGTTTCATCAATATTACTTATAATTTTTTTGGGTTCATGTATATAATTTAGGTTTAAAACAAACCAAAACTGTTATCTCCTCTTAAAAATGAACCATGGCATTTATAGTTAAAATTATTTACTGTAAACCTTGGTATCTAGTAGATGCTTAGTCTATGTTTTCAGAATGGAGGATAAGTTGAGTTTAATCACTAACATAGATGTTCATTTGCACATTGTTTATGTTAATATACAGGCTAAATAGCTTTGAAACTATAATGACACTAGTTAAATGTTTTGAAAGAAATTTTATTTCACAATGCTGTATCTTCCCATATTTAAGAACTGTTTTTCTCTTTGACAAATTTAGCTGTCATGTGTGCAATTAAGATTTGAGCGATTCTTGAGGGATAAAAGTTCTTGTGCTTTAACAAGCTACTTCCTTTTAACCGTTTTATAAGAGAAAGTCTGCTCTTAATTAACCTTTTAGACTTTCTTTTTCAGTGCTATTAGACCAAAACCTCCATGTTATCTCTAGGTTGTGCAGGAGCGAAACGATGTCCAGAAGCAACTTTCTGAAGAACAGAATGCCAGAATATTACAAGATCAGATTCTGACGAGTAAACAAAAGGAGCTAGAAATTGCTCAAAAGAAAATTAATTCTGAGGTATTTTCTTTAGTTATTTCCAAATATATTTTTGTATGTGAATGTATTTTTAAAAAACAACTCTATGCAACTTGGAAAGTATAATGGATTTTTGAACCACACACACACACACACACACACACACACACACATATACACACATTTAAGGGTAGTGATAGTGGTTCTGGCAGTTTTGGCCCATTGGATAAAATCATGTTCTTTTTTTTTTTTTTGAGACGGAGTCTCACTCAGTTGCCCAGGCTGGAGGGCAGTGGCGCAATCTCTGCTCACTGCAAGCTCCGCCTCCTGGGTTCATGCCATCCTCCCACCTCAGCCTCCCAAGTAGCTGGGATTACAGGTGCCCGCCACCGCGCCTGGCTAATTTTTTGTATTTTTAGTAGAGACGGGGTTTTGCCATTCACAGGATGGTCTCGATCTCCTGACCTTGTGATCCATCCGCCTCGGCCTCCCAAAGTGCTGGGATTACAGGCGTGAGCCACCATGCCTGGCCCAAAGTCATGTTCTTAATTCAACTCTGCAAGAGTCGAGTAGTGACATTCACAGTAGCCTTATCCAAAGGAGAAACCTTTGTTATTTTTCATAGGAATTAATGATCTTTCCACAATCTCAAAACCCTTGCTACTAACAACAGACGTTCTAGTTTTCAGACATGATTTCATCTTCCTAACATATTAACGGAGAGGTCACATTATTATTTCCATTGGTAGTAAAGATGAAATGTAAAGCCAGTTCAGAGGCTATACTTCAGATGCCATTCCCCTTACTTTTGAGGAGAGTAACAGTTTGCTCCAAGTAACCTCTCATATCAGTGCAAAGAACTTTGAAAACAATGATATGCCATAATATAAAGTTAGTGATAATTTATTGGTAAGTATTTTGTTCCCCTGTTTCATGCTTATTTCTGTTTCAAACATTATAAAGAGGAAACAGAAGTTATTGCTATATTTCCATATTTACAACACAGAAGTAATCGTGATTTGGTGGAAGAGCACTAGAAGTAAAGTAAGAGGACCTAGGGAAAATCCTGCAGCTTGCATATTTTTTGACCTCTCCTTTCAGAATTGTGACATAAATGAGTTCAGTGATGTATGTATAAGTGCTTGGTACAAGGCCAGGCGCAGGGGCTCATGCCTGTAATCCCAGCACTTTGGAAGGCTGTGGTGGGTGGATCGCTTGAGCCCAGGAGTTCCAGACCAGCCTGGGCAGCATGGCGAAACCCCATCTCTACAAAGAGTACAAATAAATTTAGCTGGGTAGGGGGGCGTGTGCCTCTAGTTCAGCTACCCAGGAGGCTGAAGTGGGAGAATCACCTGAGCCTGGGAGGCCAAGGCTACGGTAAGTCTTGATTGTGCCACTGCCCTCTAACCTGAGTGATGGAGTGGAGACCCTGTCTCAAAAAAAAAAAGAAAAAAAAAAAACCTAATATAATGCTTAGATTTAGCATTTATGAATAAATGTAATTCTTATATAACTGACAATAAAAATGTTAGAAAAATAAAATGGCTATAGAATATTCTCAGGAAAAAAAAAAAACAGAACTTAAAGTTGGGAAATTTCCTTTGTCCAGATATATGCAAAGCTACAGCTTTTACTATAGGGTGGTGTATAGGTTAGATGTTAGAGTGTAAAGCCAATTTTTTAATGTAGTCACATTTATTAATCTTTCATTTTATGCCTTTGAATTTGTTGTAATTCAGGGAAAGTCTTCGAATTCGAGATGCTTAAAAATGCTCCAGTCATTTATTTTTTACTTTCATGGATTCATTATCTTCAAATAAATTTATGCAAGTTTTGGGAATTTATGTTCTATGAGGTTTGAAGTTTCGATCCAATATTTTTTTCCAGTTGGATATCCACTTATGGCAATCTTTTCATTGTATACATGTTCAGGTTATTCTTTAATTTCAGAGGAAATCATGATATGTCATTTTATTGAGTGCTACTAAATGTTTCCTTTCTTACTTAGATTTCTCATAGGCATAAAAAAGAAAAGGATCTCTTGCATGAAAATTGCATGTTGCAGGAAGAAATTGCCTTGCTGAGACTGGAAATAGATACAGTAAATAATCAGAACCAGCAAAAGGAAAAGAAATATTTTGAAGACATTGAGGTTGTGAAAGAAAAGAATGATAACCTTCAAAAAATTATAAAACTAAATGAGGAAAAATTAACAAAAACAATACTGCAGTACAGTGGACAGCTGAACGATCTGACAGCTGAGAATAAAATACTCAATTCTGAACTGGAAAATAAGAAACAGAACCAAGAAAGACTGGAAATAGAAATGGAATCGTATCGCTGTAGACTGGCTGCTGCTCTACGTGATTGTGATCAAAGTCAGACATCAAGAGACCCAAAACTTGATTTCCAGAGAACAAGACAAGAGTGGGTTCATTTACAGGACAAGAAAAACGTTGATATGTCTGACCTACAAGCTAAGACTGAGATTCTTTCTGAAAAACTTTCTAATGCTGAAAGTAAAATCAGCAGCCTACAAATTCAGCTCCATAACACAAGAGATGCTGTTGAAAGAAAGAGTTTGATTTTGGAACGTTTGCAAAGAGACCTCAGCCAAACACACTGTGAGAAGAAAGAAATTGAACAAATGTACCAAACTGAACAACGCAAACTGAAGAAATACATTGCCAAGCAGGAATCTGTAGAGGAGAGATTATCTCAACTACAAAATGAAAATACATTGCTTCCACAGCAACTTGATGATCCCACAAGAAAGCTAACAGTCAGGAAAAGACAATCAGTACTATCCAAGACCAATTTCATGCTTTTGCCAAAAATCTTCAAGCTGAGAGTGAAAAGAAGATTCTTTCACTACAAGAGAAGAACAAGGAGTTGATGGATGAATATAATCATTTACAAGAAAGAATGCATCAATGTGAGAAAGAGAAAGCACGAAGAAAAGTAAGTATTAAGAAAGATAAAATATTTTTCAATCTTCCTGATAGAAAATGTAAAGTAATATTTGGTTATGGCTAAATGGTGTATCTGTAGCAGGACAAGCCGCAGACAAAACCCCTCAGACATGGAGATAGTGAAGGGAGTGGCTTTAATCAGCTGGGAGCATCGACAGGCTAGCCTCTTAAAGTTCGAGCTCGTCAGGTGCTCAACTTCTGTCCCTTTAAAGGACTCACGACTCTAAGGGGGTCCACATGAGAGGGTCGTGATTGATTGAGCAAGCCAGGGGCTACATGACAGGGGCTGCAAGCCAGGGGGTACGTGACAGGGGCTGCGAGCGCCACCAGCGGTCAGAGTGAAACAGAACAGAACAGGAGGTTTCACAATGTCTTTCCATACAATGTCTGGAATCTATAGATAACATCAGTCGCTAGGTCAGGGGTTGAATTTTAACTACCAGGTTTGGGTCAAGCAGGCCCAGGCCTGGTTTCGGGTCTGGTTCCTAGGTGCTGGGCTACCTGCCTTTAGTTTCTCTTCTCTTTCCTTTTCTGAGTATTAAACAATATAAAACAATGTGAGAGGGTCTCTCTCTTCCCTCAGTATCTAGTTAAATATAAAAATATATAGATGATAAATGTATTTGCTATATCAGCCTAGAAATGTACAGCAAAAAAGAAGTTAAACCTGAAAGATGCTTTACTTTGAGTAAAGAAATTGTGTCATCTATGAAATTTTAAGTTCAGTTGCAGTATTAATAGGTACAGACTAATACTCACAATGTAGTCTTATGCTGCTGAAATGATCATTGCAGTGCCTTTATGTGGCCCTGTTTTAAGACGATGATGAAGCAGATAAACAGAAATGCTCATATTTGACGTGAGTATTTTGAAATTAAGATTCAGTGAGGAGGGTTACTTTGTTAATTCCAGATTTCCCAGGTGAACTGAAGTGTACTCCTGTATCTCATAATACTTTTCCTTCAGTAGTTTTTATGTATTTAAGTTGGTATAATCTTATTTTTATTCATATCAATTTGACTTAAATCTGAGACAATTTCAGTCTCAAATTACTTGTTATGACCTCTCAATTCTTTAAAGGCATTTACTTTTCTTTCTTTCTTTCTTTCTTTTCTTTTGAGATGGAGTCTTGCGCTGTAATTTTTGTATTTTTAGTAGAAACGGGGTTTCACCATGTTGACCAGGCTGGTCTTGAACTCCTGACCTCAGGTGATCCACCAGCCTCAGCCTCCCAAAGTGCTGGGAGTACAGGCGTGAGCCATCGCACCCCCACCTAAAGGCATTTACTTTTTATTAAGTCATAATTTGGGACAGATGTGAATTTCAGAAAAGCCATGTTAGATTTAATCTTACCACTGGTATTTATAATTTACTTTGAATGTTTTTACAAAGAATTTGCTCATAATTTTCATTTCAAGTCTCACTACCTATCATTCAGATATAACTTTGACCAGTACAGAGGTAATTGTGGCTATCTGTGATTTACTTGTTTGGCATTGAGTCCCATTTTCAAACTAATGAGAGGTGGCAGGATTCCACATATAGCAGGAATGGACTGAATAGGTGAGATAGTTGTAGGAGCTGAGGTCAGGGAGGGAGGTAGAGGCCAGGTTACCTAGGGCCTCAAAGGCCATTGGAATTTTACTTGTATTCTGAGATAAAAATCTTTTGGAAAGATCTGAGCAGGCAATTGAATATGCAAGGAACTCTGAGGTTGATTTGAGCTTCTAATAAAAAAGAGATTTGAGCTTCTAATAAAAAAGAAGGGGAAAACATTTCACAGTGTGGGATATACCACCAACAGCCCCACCCACAAACTGATTTCTATTTTAGACTTCAGTAGGTTGTTAAGCATTGCAGATGTTTCAGGGAAGAGTGAATAGTGGGCTGAATCTATTGCCTAAGTTAACAGAAAACTGATTTGGCAGGAAGATAACACCTTCTATGTCCTTGACTGAATTCAATAATAAACAATGTGTGCACATAAGGAGGTGAACCATATATGTGTTGATATTTTTCAAGGTATGTATGTTAGAGTTAAATCTTACTACCATAATTTAATAATAAGGTGATTTATAAATCAGTAACAATTAAAAATACCTTCACAGGTAGTTATGAGACAACTCCAACAAGAATGGACCGATCCCCTAAAACAACAACCTACATCAGAGGCTACATCACGTTGTCACATTAATTTAGATGAGACACTCAATTCAAAGAAGAAATTGGGTCAAATCAGAAGTGAAGTATGTATGAAACATATCAACAGTTAATCTATAGGTGGTGAAATAATGTCAGATGTTTTAGGATACTAATTGCAGTGGATGACTTTCTTTTGTATTTTTATTATAATTCATTTTATTACAATTTTATTATGTTTATAATGCACTTGTTTCTTAACCTCTGGCTTTCATTCTGTCCTTTTCTCCTCATAAGTACATACATTTTAAAAATAAGGATCATTTCCAAAGACCCTTAAGAAAGTTGGGAATTATTCAGTATTCCTCACAGAAGTTGAGAGACTTTTTTTTTTTTTCTGTGAAGTGGTATTTTTTAGTAATTTCTCTATTGCCATGGTGAGGCAAGCCAGATTAAATTGTAGGATAATGCTTAATAGAATGTTCCAGAAAATTGTCTTATTTCTTATCTTTACTTTTGTGAATGGGTACAGAATCTGTGTATATTTATTTCATGAATTTCAGGATAACTTGTACAGAAAGGCTATAGTACTGTTCTTCAAAATGCAAATGTTTTAATTTACAAACTACTTGAAATGTTAGGCACTTCCTTCATTTTCCTTTCATTTTAAATATATTGTGCTTTTTTACAAATCATGTATAGTATGTACATCCAAAGTACAGAATTAAGAGATGTATCTAGATTCTACCACTGAATTTTTAAAAACAATTTTACTGAGACATACTTCTCATACCATGCAGTTTACCCATTGAACGTGTACAATTCATGGTCTCTTAGTATATTCCCAGAGTGTGTAACCATCACCATCATCAACTGTAGGATATTTTCATGACCCTGGAAAGAGCCAGCAATCTGTTTTGTTTCCATGGATTAGCCCACTCTGGACACTACATATCAGTTGGATTACACAATATGTGGTAGTCTTTTGTGACTGGCTTCTACTAAGCATAACATTTTTAAGGTTCATTGTGTTGTAACATGTATCAGTATTTAATTTCACCTTATCGCTGAATAATTTTCCACGGCATAGACATACCACTCATTTATTTAGCCATTCATCAGGTGATGGACCTTTGGATTTTTTCCATATTTTGGCTATTACTAATCATGCTGCTGTGAACTTTTATGTACAAGTTTTTGTGTTTGCATATGTGTTCCTTTCTCTTGGGTGTATACATATGAGTTGAATTTCTGGGTCATATGGCAACTCTTTGCTTAACCTTTTGAGGAGCTGCCAGTCTGCTTTCCAAAGTGGTTGCACCATTTTACATTCCCATCAGCATTGTATGAGGGTTCTAATTTCTCCACATCCTTGCCAATATTTTCATATTTTTGATTGAAAAAGGATTCCAACCTAGAGGTATGAAGTGGTACCTCATACCACGCTGATCAAAATCAATGTGGTTTTGATTCACATTTCCCTAGTAATGAATGACTTTAAGCCCGTTTCTATGTGCTTATGAGCCATTTGTATATCTTCTTTGGAGAAATGTCTATTCAAATCCTTTGCCCACATTAAAATTGGGTTGTCCTAAATTTCTGAACTTTAAGAGTTCTTTATATACCCTAGGTGTAAGTCCCTTATCGGAGATGTTTCCAAATATTTTCCATGGCTTCCCTTTTTATTTTCTTTTTTATGATTTATTATGTTTTCAAAATTTATATAATTTTAAATTGTAGAGAGAAGGCCTCACTATGTTGCCCAGGCTGGTTTTGAACTCCTGAGCTCAAGCAATCCTCCAACCTCAGCCTCCCAAAGTGTTGAGATTATAGCTGTAAGCCACCATGCCCAGCCTCCTTTTCACTTTCTTGATGGTCTCTGTTCAAGCACAGAAGTTTAAATTTTGATGAAGTCCAGTTAATTTTTTTTTTTTTTTTTTTTTTTTTTTTTTTTTTTTTGCAGTCACAAAGATTCATGGCTATGTTTTCTTCTAGGAATTTTATAGTTTTAGTTCTTACATTTACTGGTTCTATTTTGTTACTTTTAGATATGAGATTTGGTGAAAGTCCACCGTTATTCTTTTGCATGTGGATATACAGTTGTCCCAGCACCATTTGTTGAAAAATCTATTCATTTCTCATTTAATTTTTTTACACCCATGTTGAAAATCAGTTGACCATAAAAGTGTGGGTTTGTTTTTGGATTCTCAATTCTAATATATTGAGCTATGTCTATCCTTATGCCAGCAGCAAATCACATTTTAGGAAAACTCGTTTTCAGTCTTGTTGCTTATTACCAGTTGTCTTATGTAAGAATAGAAATTCAAGTAGTAGAATGTCTTTAATTTCACTTTTTGCTTCGTGAAGGAGCGTATAGCCAGCTTATGCCTTGTTGACTCCATGACATGATGAGAGTCAGGCTTACGAAGACAGATCCCATTATTTTTTTTTCTCCAGTCATACCTTTTGTCTCTCACCCAGTGGCTCTCTCTTCACTCCCATTTCCATCAAATCCTGGCCACAGGATATGCTGACTCTGTCTACTATTTATTGCATTATGTTTTATTAACTCATAGAGTCACGTGTAGATTTTAACTAACTATGAAGGGCAGGGTTAAGTCTAGGCTGTCATCTTTCCTTGTTGGAAATTGAGCTAATTCGTCATGTTGCAGTTCACAGTTAGATCCTCTTTTGACACAGCACCTGGTTCTCTTGTACACCCCCAGAGCTGAATTCTCTTCTTGGCACAGATCCTACATTCTCAGAAACCAGAGTTCCCTGCATTTACCTCCTTTTGCTTAAACAGAGATTCATAGCTATGCTTTTATAGTTCAACACATAATTCATTGAATAAATACTTAACACATAATTCATTGAATAAACCCATTCAAAGAATAACTTCCAGGAGTGCAGCAACTAGAAATCAGGTCATGTCCAGGCATTTATCAGAAACAAGTAGTCGAATTGGTTGTATGAAATTCAAAATTTCAGAGTCAATTTATATGATATGGAGAAGCATTTTGGTACAACATAAAGATGAGACGCTCTTCCCTTCTCCACACAAATGAGCTTGAAGTAAGGTAAAGGGGAAATTGTGTTTAATAGCTTAACACTCAAAGGATACTACATTTGTTTTACTTCTGAGATTATTAAAACTGATTCCATAATATTTTTTTATTTCCTCATTGAGGAAATCGAAATGAAGACTGAATCCTAGATTGATTAATAAATACCCAAAGCTGCTTATCACTTTTAGAATTTCAGTTCATTGAAATCAGGTACAATGTCTGATTTTTGGTTATTAATCAAGTATTTCTAGTTTTTTCAACTTTATACTTCAAATCGTGTATCTCCTTCCTTCCTCATCTCCTCCACGAGTGCATAAGAGTTTTGTTTTTCTCCCCAACCTCACCACGATTTTTTACTTTTGGGACTTTGTTTGTGTTGTTTTTTGTTGTTGTTGTTATTGTTGTTTGTTTGTTTTTGATAGTAGCCATTCTGTGGTGAGACAATATCTCATTTGGGATTTTATTTCCATTTTCCTGTTAGTGATGTTAAGAACTTTTCCATATTTTTGTGGCTATTCATACATCTTCTTTTTAGAAATGTCTCCTTAAATTCTTTGTCTGCATTTTAGGGGGATTATTAACTACTTTTTACTGTTGAGTTGTTTGAATTCCTGGTATAGTCTAGATATTAGACTTTCTCAGATGAATAGATTTGTAAATATTGTCTCCCTGTCTACAGATTGTTGGTAGTTTTTTTCACTCTGTTGGTTGCTTCCTTTGCTTTGAAGAAACTTAATTTTAATATAGCCTCACTTACCTATTTTTGTTTTTATGCCTGTGCTTATTTTTGGCATATGCCTGTGATAACTTAGCTATAAAATCTTTGCCTTGACCTGAAGCATTTTCCCTGTATTTTCTTGTAGTAGTTTTATAATTTTGTATCTCATGTTTAAGTCTTTAATCCATTTTGAGTTGATTTTTGTATATGGTGAAGGATAGGGACCTGGTTTCATTCCTCTTTTTCCAGATATCCAGTTTTCCCAGTCCCATTTGTTGAAGAGAGGGTTCCTTCCCCAATGTATGTTCTTGACACTTTTGTTGAAAATCAGGTGTCTGTAAATATGTGGATTTATTTCTGAGTTCTCTATTCTGTTCCATTGGTTTAATTTTCTGTTTTTATACCAAGACCATGCTCTTTTGGTTACTATAACCTTGAAATATATTTTGAAGTCAGGTAGAGAGATGCCTCCAGCTTTGTTATTTTCCCTCAGGCTTGGCTTGTATAGTCTAGCTTTTTTGTGGTTCCATATGAATTTTAGGATTGTTTTTTCCATTTCTGTGAAGAATATTATTGGTGTTTTTTTGTTGCAAGTTATAAAGGGCATTTTATTTTTATCTTATTTATTCTTTCTCTTTCTTAACTTGTATTTTAGATTCAGGGGGTACATGTGCAGGTTTGTTACAAAGGTATATTGCATAATGCTTAGGTTTAGGGCACAATTGAACCTATCACCCAGGTAGTGAGCATAGTACCTGGCGTGTCATTTTTCAATCATTGTCCCCAACCCAATCCCCCTTCTTATAGTCCCCAGTGTCTATTGCTCCTGTCTTTATGTCCAAGTGTACCCAATGTTTAGGTCCCACTTATAAGTGAGAACATGTAGTATTTAGTTACCTGTTTCCGCATCAGTTTGCTTAGGATAATGCCCTCCAACTGCATCCGTGTTGCTGCAAAGGACAGTATTTTGTTCTTTTTATAACTGCATAGTATTACATATTGTTTATGTGCTACGTTTTCTTAATCCAGTACACCATTGATGAGCTTCTGGCTTCATTCCATATCTTTGCTATTGTGAATAGTTCCGCAGTGAACATATGGGTGCATGTGTCTTTTTGGCAGAATGATTTGGTAGAATGATTGTGTCCTGACTGAAGTCATTTATCAGTTCCAGGATAAATTGGAAGACTCTTTCAAGTTTTCTAGGTATAGAATCATATCATCCACAAAGAGAGATAGTTTGGCATCTTTTCCTTTTTGGATGCCTTTTCTTTCTTTCTTTTGCCTGATTGCTCTGACTAGGAGTTCCAGTACTATGTTT